TCCGAGCTGCTCAGCAGAGGTTATCTGAAATTGAATATTCTTCTCATTTCCTGGGTAGGATCTCACAGTCTGATGGAATTTCACTCTCCAGTGTATTGTGAAGTTAAAGTTCAGTGTTGATTTAATGGAGTAGTTTGTCCTAGTTCATGTGACACGACAGTTTGCTGCTCAGACATTTTCAGAGGCCAGGTAATACTTCAAATTTCATAACAGGGGTCAACTGAGGAGAAGCACCTCTTTTTTCATCATCAGGTGAGAAACTTTCCTGTTGAAACCAGGCAACCTGGGATAATGGTACACACAAATGCTCTATGTTTTAGTAGAGCCTGCCTCACACTACAGACCACAGAAACAAGGTGATGTTGGCAGCATCTCTGCGGGATGAGAGTTCAGTCAGGAAAGACAGCAGGAGAAAGGCTCAGAAGTCAGAGACTCTCTCTGCGCCTCAGCCTCCCCTCCTCTTCCTCCTCTCCCTCCTCCTCCTCCTCCTCCTCTTTCATCTCCTCCTCTGTTCTACCAGGCATGGGTATGTTGGACTGCCTGCACAGTGTCAAAACCCAAATCATATTTGTTCAATGACAACCTGAGAAATGGAAGGTTATAGCCATCTACCTAAATCCCTGACACAAAGAACACAGGCAGGCTTTAAGTAACAGTCACTGCTTTTCTGCAGGACTTTTCTCTGATTTTTCTTTTTCAGTCTTCACCATTTTATCACAACGGAACACCAACATCTAAATGGACCCAGGTTATATTAAAACACTAATTTATTTACTCTGTCCCTGCAAACAGAACTGATGCTAGGTATGCAAATGAACAGAGCATTGCAGCTGTTTACGCACTCTTCAGTATCAAAGAGGAACATAGCTTTTGTTTGGTTTTACTTTGAAATTTTTCTTCTCCAGCAATAGTTACCATAAATTAGGGGATCATACTGTCTTCCAGAATATTTCAAGATATAGCAAACATAGTAAACACAAGTTGAAAAGCAATAACAGATCTTGCAAATGGTCTATCAACAAGGAAAGGGCTAACTCTGGTGTGATCACAGCTGATGTGAAGGCCTGGGTCACTCCAGACAGGCATTTCTTTATTTTTGGGATCACTTTTTCAAGCAAAAAGTGACTGGCATCAACATCCTAAGAATGGAGAAAAGATATAAAAGGTAGCTGATATAAAATAATGTATTTGACAATGAAGTCAATGGAACACCATTCATTTATATCAACTCCTTGTTTACTCTAGTGGCTGTACAGGCTTTTTACATCACAGATCTAGAATTAGAGTAAAAAATAAGACTGTCATATTAAAGTGATTAAATTTATTTTTCTTACATCTGCAACAGTGATTTGGTTTACTAACTACAAAGCTTTCTAAGAATTGAGCACCTCAACTCAAAAAAAAATCCAAAGTTTATTGAACATCTAATAAATTATGATCTAATAAATAAATAAAACATCTAATAAAGTATCTACTTTCTGCTTCTGTAAAAACAAATTTTTACTTATGGGACAGGTGTGCCATAATGTCCCATAATGTCCCATAAGAGTATTTATTCTTGCTGCAAGCATGCCAACTAAAAGAATAGAAACTAATGCTACTACACTATTAAAGCAAAAGGAGAGCTGGAAACCCCATGATAAATATAGAATTAATACCTCTTTATTATTTTGAGATTAAGAATAAAAATAACTGCATTATTTTCTGTATGTTACTTTCACCTGTTTCCCTTAGAGCTTGGAAACATATTATTTCATGCTACACCCATCAAGAACAGAAACATTTTGAAAATGTGGTTTTATTCTTTTGAAACAGTCTGAAATAGATTGACAAAACCACAACAAATACAAATCCATTTCTAGAAAATATAGATGTAATATCCCTTCTGTCTTTATCGCACTAACAATAAATGAATAACCCTGAATACACCACAACTATGAATAAAAGAAATGAAAAAAAGCCTTCCTGAGAACGAGGTTTGCAATTTCTGAATATTTTTCATATGTTTAAGCTACATCTCCAATGCAGTAGCTGCCAGAAACACATTTTGCTTTGAGTAATCTCAACTGAATTCCTAAGTGAGCTTCTTTTAAGCTCATATTAAAATGTGAGTTTATAAATACTTTGGTTTCAATTTTTTTTCAGAACTTTGCTGCCTGACTTATTTGAGCAAAGCAAGCAGGACTTTTTTTCCTGAACCCAACAGAAGTATAAAATAAATTCCTGAATGTGCTTTTAAGCAAAAACAAACATTGAAACTAATAATCAGAAAACCCTGCAGTTTGACGTGCAATATTTCCTCTTCCACACTAGCTGTTCAGGCAGCTAAAGAAAGAACCCTGTCCTGCATATCTTTCATTCCATATGCACCATAATTTTAGCATGGGGTTTATTGCTGTTCCCATTAAAGGCTGCTTGGTTTTTTTTCATGTTTTCAGCGGGCATGGGCTTCAATCTGAGGTCAGTATTTAGTTAGCAAAAGACAATTTAAAAATGTACAGAATTTGTAGTAAGAAAGACACCAAGGACTCAAAAGAAATAAAAATACCTTTTTCAAATTATTTTCATTATAATTTATTACTGAACTGCGACGAAGTTGGGGCGGAAGGTCTTTACCCAAATACCCAAATTTACAGTTTAGTGAAATGTGAATCAGCCCTCCCAGAAAAGTGCCAAAAGAAAGGTGAGGCAAAATAAATTAACCAGCAGAATTTCTGGAATTTTTCAACTTAGTGTCTCCATGCATGGAAAAATTAGTGCTAGGATATAAGTATATCATGGAATAATTTCAAATGCTTCCTATTCATGTTTCATCACACCAATACTTCACACCGAGCAAAAATTAAACATCAAATACATTTATATCAACTATATTTTAACACAGATTAGTATCTTGCAAGGATCCCCGATTTGAGGGGAAGGTAGTATGTACCTTGATGGGTACATAACAAGGAGTAAGATGAATCTACACTGAGCTATATACTGTAAGAATTCTCACAAGTATTGCTATGAATGCAGAAGCTACTCACTCTTCAAGGCCACAGGATGGTTGTCAAGAAAAGATTATCTGAAGTATGACTTGTGCATATCTTCAAAACTTAAAAAGGAACAAAACGTACTCAGGCCCAGCCTGGTGTGGAGTTTATTTTTTGTGTCTAATATGTATGGGTTCAGAATTTATGGCAATGATTGAGGAAAACAGCACTATCAGGGCAGAACTTAAATTGTCCTTGGCTTTAAAGATATATTTATGTGTCATTTAACTTAACTGAATTTAAAGGCATACTAACAGTTAGAGATCCTTTAAAGAAAGTTCTGTCTTTAAAGTATATATGTATGCACATAAGCACGTATCTCCCTAAAGCCAAATTTCATGATAATCACTGAAAGCAGAATTACTACCTTACCAGCAAAGGTATCAAAATCCACCATCATTCTGTAGCGATGCAATTAAACAATCTCTTTCACAGACAAGTTAAGCCTTCTGATACATTGAATTGCTTCCAAAAAAGCCAAAGGGAAGTACATTTTTTGCAAAATGAATAGTTTAATCTAATAGGGAGAACAGTGGGGGCTTTCCACAAAAATAATCTTATAAAACTACTTTTAAAAAGATAAAAAGCAAGAAGAATCTCTTCAGGATGCTCTCAGGAACTGAAGGCATCTCAGCTGAACATAGTGTAGGTGATTACTTCAATGCCATCATCAATATCATAAACAATATACGAACTGGGAACATATAATTTCTAATTCCTATGTGTACATAGACATTTTCTAAATATACCAAATGAATGATAGATCATAACAAATAGCCCCCTTATGCATTAAAATTTACTATCAGCTGTGGTGGAAATATGATTTTGTTTCCTATTCAAGTATAAAGTTTTCTGTTGACTTACATTTCAACATTAGGTATTTCTACTCAATACAAAAGTACAAAGTTGCTCTAATGATAGATGTGATCTGGAATACAACACTAGTTGTGTTAGAGATATTTCTGCTGAGCACTTCATTTCAATCTTTATTCTAGAAAAATCATATTGCACATAATTGATTTTTATGTTTTGTTAACTACTACTGAAATCAGATGACATAAATAGAAACAGATGCAGATGCTACAAAAGCATACATATATATATAATTGCACCAATATTAGACAAAAGTCCTTTGTACAGCATTGACAATAAGAAGTTAAATGACAAATGGAGCTTATTATTCTTTGTGACTTTTAAAATCTTTGTTGCCAATTACAACTTTAAACATTCTGAAGCTAAAATATTATAAAGAAAGGCAGGTCCTGGTTAAAAGTTGAATCACACTCAAGTTTATTCTTTATGTTTGTATTAAAGATTATAGGTTTATCAATTTCATTAACTCAAAATGTGGGTTCACTAATCTAACCCCTCATTGTTCAACTTGTTCTTGGTATGTTAAAAGAATTCAAGGTGAGGCTCACATGAAATTTTTCAGTCTACCTGCTATATCAGTGACTATTGTTTAAACCACTAATTCATTACTCATACATTCTTGGTTTGTCTCTGCATCAGAACCAACAATAAAGAGAAAGTAATATTTCTGCAATTTCCTGGAGAGCCTCCTATGCCCAGGGAAAAGTGAGTATGGGGCTGAGTGGGCTCTGCCTCTGAAAATGAGTGATTTGCATGTGTGTATACATTCAGTTATTTACTAAAGAGCAGACAGAGAAACATCAAATCACGCCCCCTTGGAAATATGCTTGTCGCAGTCATTTTCCTAGGAAAGCACAGCTTGGAACCATAATGGGGTGGCCTGCTCCTGGCAATTAACGGAACTGTATGAGAAAGACCAGTGCAAGAGCACAGAAGGGGAGTAAATAAAGATAGGGTTTTTTATTCCTTGGCTATAGGGTCTGTCAAGGGCAGACAGATGCTGCACTCAGACACCTGTGTTTTGTTCTTTTGGACTGACCCATGGCAGCAATAATGGGCAGGTTTTCGAGCACGCAAACACATGGGCTCTGCTCACAGCCGCGTGTCATACTCCAAAGGCTCGTCTGCGTCGTCAGCTCCTGTGGTGCTCATCTCCATTTCTATTTCGAAGGCTGGACTGACCCTTTCCAGTGTGTAGTCACTTCTTCTTAAATCTATGCCAAGAAAATGAATTAAACGATGCAGCCAAGTAAATGTTTGAAAAACACGTACACCCCAGGCAGTGTCCAACCCAGTGACTGGTGGCAGCCTGTTAGGTGTTTCCAGGAGGAAGAAAATCTGCAGCAGGGCAAATCAGAGCCAGGGGGATGAGAGCCCTGCGGGGACCCAAAATGGTGTGAGCTGACAGGAATGAACCTTCCCTGGCTGTATTTATTCAGCTATTTTTTCCCTCTATTTTCTCTCCCTGCCACAGACACAAATAATCAAAACCAATAACACTGCAGTTTCTGTTTCTAAATCAAGTAGCAATTATTACTCCCTGTAGGCACTGAAAGGAGTTTTCCCCTAGAAAAAAATAGGTGGGTGGAAATTCATCCACAATAGCAATCTGTTTTGGCTTTGAGTCTTTTAAATCTGCCCCACATCAAACAGAAGCACATTCTATCAAATCTAACATGAACAACATGCAATCCAACTAAGCAGAAGTAAGGGTGGCAGTATATAGGACCCTATTCCAGGGCCAGGAAACCTCCAGTGAGTTTTTCCTTGGCTAATGTATTGACAATTTTTAGATCATTACTCTTTCTTATTCTAAAAATTATTGCTGATAGCTGTAGTGATGACCCTGGAAAAATGAGCTACCATTTTGCAAAGCAAAGGAAACAATTCAATGGGAGAAGTTTTCATGCTGAATGCTAACACCAGGTTGATAGGCTCCAACCCTTGCACAATCACTGGGCAAAAGAGCAAGGTAAAAGAGAAATATTCTCACATCCGCCTTTGCACAGAGAGAGTGCTCCTGCTGTAAGCTTTCAGCTCAATAGAATTTCAGTTCTTGCCTTTATAGCATACCTGGGCCTTTACTTCTTGCACTTAAAAAGTTATACATATATTAAAAATTAATCTTTACTTTGCATACCAGGAAGTTTCAGCCTCCTGCAGCAAGAGTTACAACGATGCTTTGTGATGAAGTTTCTTATTGCACCTTCGCCTAGGTTTGCTGGTCCAAATACCATCTTTCCAGATCTAAAAGAAATATTATTAAATAATCAATGAACTGAAAATAAAGCAATTGTAGGGGAGAGGGATGATGATGTTTTCTATTTTTTAAATCAGAGATGTTAGCCTTTGTATAAAGACAATCAAAGCTTATCATACATCACGAGTTTCTTAGCTCTGGGACCAGAAAACTGCCAATTCTGGTAAAGTATTAGCTTACGTATACCCCACACTACTTTTCCTTCCTGCTGCATCTCACAGATGCTCTGAAGGGAGACAGAACAGACCCAGCAGTTCCTTCTAAAACACTTAAAGAAAATTTGGGCACAGTGACATTTAGACAACATACGCCAGAATCTGAGGGACTCTGTTGCAGCCACCACTCATTCTCATCAATTAAATGGCTCGGTTCCAGTTTTGATGGTAGGCACCTGGGAACAAACCAGAGCTAGCAAGGACTTACTTTTACCTTATTTAAGAAGAGAAAGCCAAAAGCAAGCAGAGCCCTAGTCACATCAATATGCAGCACAGAAAAAAAACACAGTACACTGCTGACAGGCAAGGCTTTAAAATTTATTGGCTTCTTCCTATGCTCATTTCCATGTGTCTGCACTCAGGCCAATTCAGCAACGTTACTAGGGGATCCATTTGTGGAAGTGTATTGCATATTCTGAATGAAGTTGACACAATTACAAACAGAAGCAAGCTATATCCACACATGTATTAGAAGTACCACATAATTATAACAGATTCTTAATGTAGTCTCAAAGATCAGTGTTCATTAATCTTAATATTGCTCCACCATTATTCTCAAGAATTTAATTGACATTCTAGACATCACGGAACACAGCACACAAGAAACACTTCCAAAGAAACTTTATGAATGCTAGTATTTTATTTTAATGATATGCAGAGTGGAAACAACACATTTTAAAATCTGAAATCAATTACAGCTCTGAGAAGCTACAGAAAAAGATTTTAACTCTCTCAAATCTATCTGTAATCCACACTAACAAAATATGCTCGCTAAAGAAAGTAGTTTTCAAATATGACACTTTCCCCTTTCACACAAGAGAAAAGCAATGATTAGTCAAAACTACTATAGGAAGCTTAGTATCTCTCTACTTTCTGCTAGACACTAAAGACTATCTGCCTCCTGCATCATCTGAAGGACTCGTCTAATCAGCCTTTACTGCAAATTAGTACATCAAATGAGGCAAGAAGTGAAATACCATTTAAGTGCCATATATACACTTTAAATGGCATGATGCTATACGGCCATTTCTATCCCTTGGTATAATCTGGTAAAATGCCAGTAAGAATAGAACATATTTAAGTATTTGCTTGGGCAGGCACAGGAAATTGAGAAGACTTCACGAACTCCGAGGCTACAGAACCACTCTGATACTTCCTCTGATCTAACTGTTATTCCATGCAAAGTGCAGCAAATAGCACAAGACAGACTGATAATCTCACGCTGTTGTGAGATAAACAGGGATACTGTCTGCAACATATGTGAAGTAACCTTTCCTCTCTACTCAGCACTGGCAATGGTTCACAAGGAATACTGCATTTAAATTTGGAAAGCTATTTCAAGAAATACGGGGATAAATTGGGAAAATAACAAGAATGACCAGCAGTCTAGAAATCATGACATAAATTAAAAGATTAGAGGGTAGCCTAAAAAGAAAAAAAAGAAAAAAAAAGAAATTGAAGGAGAAGATGGTGACTATCTTTGAGATTGTTGAATTGTTTTTCTCTATGTCGACAGTAGACAGGACCAGAAAGAAATTTTTCAAGAAGGACATTAGGAAAAATCTTTCAGACAGTAATGATAGCAAACTATTGAAAACAGATGCTCTGGGAAGTTTTTAAGGTCATCCTTGGAAGACCTTAAGACTTGTCTGTACAAGACCTGTAAAGCCAGGAATGATCTGGTGCAGCAGAAGAACCACCTGAACTCCTCGGGTCCTTTCTAACCCTACAAATGTTTTATAAACAAGGTCACTCTCCTGGTTATTCAAGGTCTGATTTTGTCTCCAGGGAGAGAAAAATACTGAGCCCAGCTTTCTTATTTCCCAAGCAGATGCATTGATGTGAGCTAATGGGCTTAAAAAAACAAAATATGTTCCTCATTTTGTGCAGAACCTTACCTAATAGTTATGCTCCATAAATACCTACCCGATTGTATCAGACTGGTCCTGGCTGGCAGGCAGGTAACACAGACTGTGCTGATGCAAAGAGTGTTCCTTATAGTCCAGAGCTACAAATGCTCAAAGCAGACAATAAGATATTTACAGAGCTTTACTGATGGAAGGTAAAGGACTGTGGGGGTCTTCATGGCAAGTAGCACCTTCCGAGGGAGATGCCCAACTCATTTATTCAGTATGTTTTTGTAGATTTAGCTTTCAGTCCACCTGTTTAAGTTGTGCACGTTTCTACAGTAGAGGTTCAGTTCATGCAGATGTTTTGTCTACTGGAAGCAATTCAACTGTAAATTGTTTGGCTGGAAGTGCACAGCTTGGTAAATATTCAATAGATTTGTTCTTCAAAACACATGCTACTAAGCTTCAGAGAACACTGTCTCCACTCATTACTAAACCCTTCAGCCCATCATTATCTGCTTGAGAGCTTTCAAAAGGGAGAGTAAGAAACCTAGCACCTCTGACTCCTCCTTTTCACATGTTTGTAATGAGATTTTTGATGGCCAGTGCCCTTTTTCTCACCTCTCTCAGCAGACCTAATGCATCAGTTCTTTCCGGTTTGAAACTCAGCCCACTATTTTCCTCATCTCTGAACCTGCTCTACAGACACCCTGCACCTAGTGTCTGTGAAAGCTTTACCCACGTGGACTTTGTTGTGAATTTGGCAAGTAGTACACGCTAAAAAGAGCATCCAGAGTACTGCTTATGAGGCAATTCTTCCCAACATTTGGGCAGTACAGGAGTCTGCAGGGACTGCACTGTGTCACGACCATCCCGCTGTTCCTCAATTACTTCTGCCTTTAAAGGAAATATTTTCATGAACATTATACCCACATCATTTTATCACTTCATACATCCTGTGCAGTACATATGGCCAGATCTTCAAGTGGTTTTAAATATCCATGAACTTACACCAATTTACATCAGCTTAGGATCTGTCTGAGATGTCACAGTATCAGACATACTTTCCAAACAGAGCTGTTGTTTTTGTCTTGGTACTGTATATAAAACCAAGACACAATGCACCATCACAGAGCTAGAGGTCACATTTTGCCATTACAAAGTCCATTTCAAGACAGCATGCAGGATGCATGAAAGAAAAGACTCATTACAAGATAACGACATGAGCCACTAAATCAATAGAGTTAAAGAAGCAAAACATGAATAATTTCACTATAAGTAGTGCTAAAATTTGAATCAGCCCTGTCAGTCAGATGCCATCTATTTTCTCCCAGGCTTCTAAGAGAACATGAGCTCAAAGCAACTTTTGAGGCAGCGCACAGGTTTTGATTAAGTATCTTACCTACAAATGAAAACTTAAAACAGATCTTGCTACTGCCAGAAATGTTTCTCTTGTGAGCAAATGAAGGTTAGAGCAAAGACAGTGCTTTTACATTATTATTGTTATTACTATTTTAGAAAGTGTTTCTTAGAACTGGGTATCGGGCAGCTGCTTACAGAATCCATCCATGGTTTCACTGCCTTATTCCTTTAGATCCCTGAATCAAAACAATATAGTTTCACAACTTGCTGTTCTGAAGATTTCCCTGAACATAAGAAAATCAAGCTGGTTTTGATTAATTAATCAACACCTGCTCTTTAACTAGGACTTGACTGTGTTGCAGATGATAAAAAACAAAACAACAAAAAGTTCTGAAAATAAGATCTGTGTGATCAAATTTTAGTAAGCATGACAAAATTATTTAATGACAAAAATAATCCAGAAAGACACTAATAAATATAAGTTTCAAGATAATGTAGATAAACATTATTCTTATTTTAAAGAGGATAAGCTGAGTTTCCATGTGAAGTACTGTGGTCAATGACTGGTCACAGTCTTCAGTAATTATTACAGTTTAAGCTACCACTGATATAAAAAAATCCACTTGAACAGCAGCAAAACAGACTTTTATACATCTGTAGCAATACTTTAAGAATGTTTGCTAAAATCTCGTGAACAACTACATGATCGACCTCTCTGCCTCTCTGTCCTAAGCTATCCTTGTGCTTTTGTCATGGTCTTATGACCTACCTAGGGCAAAGACATTACCACCATGAGGTGCTCAGCATACTTCTGATGTTGCTTCCAAAATAAGTATTATATGGCCAACACACATAATTAGACATTCACACAACATTAATACAGTCATTTATTACTAATCTTATTAATGAAATATTAATAATGGTCCCAGAACTAAGAACCTGCTTCCAAAACTAACTTGTTCTGAGTTCTAGGCAAGTCATCTGATATTTCCATAGTTAATTGCCCTTTGTATTAAATCAGATTATTCATATTTATATCTTCCTTCCTTCCAAACACGCGACACCCCTTCAATCAGATGACATGAGCTGAGCAAGAGGGACCCAAGCTGAGCACAAGACAGTGGAGGGGCAGGATTGCCAGGGCACAGCTGGAGAGATGTGTGGGTTTAGGAAGATTCCCCAAAGAAGAGGACCCTGCAGGACAGCAACCATCAACATCGCTGCTTCTCCTCTTGCTACAGCAAATACCAGCGAGGAGCAAGGTCACAAGATGAGAGAATGGCCATGGTTCTGATTCTGAAATTTGACAGATGGAGGCAGACTGCTACTTCTATGTAGTCTCTCTAGTTTTTGTAACTTTCTACACATGATTCACCATCTCCATATCACGGCTCTAAGATTGTAACATGCAGTATGCATAAATGCACCACTAGGACCACTTGGAAAGAACAGAAATTCAGAGGCCCTCTCCTCATTCTCTTAAGCCATTGTGGCCCCATATACTCCATGAAACAGCGCCCCACCAGGCAGAGGCAACCAGACTGCCACATTTAAGTTACTGATGACCTCCTTCAGTGCAAATTTGTGAAGAGATT